TTGCTTTACTTCTGTTTACTGTTCTATGTTTTAGAAAAAATAACTTTAAGAACTTATTTCAAAATAGCAATAATCTCTCTCTTTCTCTCTCTCTCTCTATATATATATAATATATAATAATTGAAATGTGACTGTATTTTACAAAATACTAGTCGACTAAAACATAGCCAAGACAAGTTACTTGGTACAGACCAAAGGTCACCTTTATGTTACTTGATACGGTAACATGAGTTCACGTGAACCGCGTCATTTTAACTTCTATATTGTTAGCCAGGCATGGGTGAAAAGTCAATATAGTAAAAATAATAAATATATAAAAATGTATAATGTTATGAGATTTAAGCTATTTCATCTAAACATTTTTGTTTTCAAGTTATAATTTGTGTTCATTCTAGAATGAAAGAGGCATAATTTATGTTTATTTCCTAATTTTTTATGGTGGTTGCGAGATTGGTCAAATCTACCGAACCCGTACAGAGAAAATAAGTTCTGAAAATAAGTATTTCTTAAGAAATATTTGATAACTATCCGGACATTATAAAAATTTTGCATGTGAAATTTCAAAAGTTTCTGATGCATAAAAGTATTTTTTATCTTAAAATGAAAATTACTTTGCATGATAGATAGGCAAGATGTAAAAACAAAAAAAGGCATGAAAGAAACATTGCTTTACAATCCTTAAGACTTCATAAAAAATTTGGATATTTTGCATATGAAAGCATTGTAATGTTTATTGATAATCTGTCAAATTTTGTCAACATTCGCTTACTAATTTAAAAGTTATAGCATGAAAACTATTACAAGCACAAAATGGTTACGAGATCGGTCCCTGGGATGGAGCCCAGGCTGAAAGAGTTAATAAGCTTTACTAATTGAGATAATGAACAAAAACAGTTTAGTTCTTGTTCCTAAATTTTACATTTCAGGAATCAAAATGAATTTCAAACAGGAAGACTTACCTCTGGAAAACAGTATACCTCTTATGTTGAGTAGATCTCACTCTGTCAATGTCCCATCACCTAAAGTTCTTAATGTATTTGAAGCAGTGCAATACTTATAGTTCTCCAGTCTCACACCTTCCACAACTTATTTACACATGCATCAGGGATTTAATTCAATTCTACCTTCCAGCTGAAAGCCAGATTCTTTTTTTGTAGTAGTTGTGACATGAAACTGCAAATCTCATGGTTGTGCAGAGGTGGGCATAAATGTGTTTTCAAGGGTAAATATCCATTTGAAATTCATTCCAATTCTAAAAATGTAAAATTTTAAACAGGCAAACTTACCACTGAAACAGTTTGCCTGATTACACACATTTAAAAGAAGAGGAGAACTGGGAAATGTGACAGGCAATGGACTGTCAATCACTCTATCAATACCAGTTGAACACTAGTGGTGAATAAGCAAGCCTGAGGATAGGCTTTACAACTCAAGAACAGTGCAATGAAAATATTGTAGAAGAAAATAAGAATGTGTTCTTTTCAAGAGTGGAACTAACAAACAACATGGAGATTCAAATCAATGTCCCATCTGCTCTATTAGAATACTCTAGATGGAATGCACAAAAAGGTAGGGAGACATGCACCTTTGAGGCATCATGTATTACCAGAAGGCCTCCTTTGTTCAAATCAATGTCCCATCTGCTCTATTAGAATACTCTAGATGGAATGCACAAAAAGGTAGGGAGACATGCACCTTTGAGGCATCATGTACTACTAGAAGGCTTCCTTTGTTCACATTCAGAAGGTGTCACCATCTAATTGAGCTCCAACATAAAGAGTGGTATGGTTCAGAGACAAATGCAAAAGCTTTCTGTGAATATATGTCTTGAGTAGACTATTCCAAATCACACAAGCAGACTAATTATTAGAGAGGTCATGGCATTTTGTGTGTGTTTTGGTTTTCAGTAAAAGTACCTGTTTAGGAATCCACCAGGTTTGAAATACAATAATCAAGGGTAAGTGGAATCCCAAAGCTGAAGGAGCAACAATATGCTTTAAATAAAATGTTTTTAATTTATTCGGGTAGTAAAGACAATGCCAAATGCTAAACCTGATATTTCTATCTTAAGTGATGGAATACATTCCTGTAAGCACAATGAATCAAGTGAGAGATCCACTTTCTCAAAATAGCAATTTGCTCAACAACAGATATGTGTTGTTTTTTGCACTACACTAACAGTGTCACCTTTGACCCACTTCTCACCATATTGTGCTAAGCCCAACCTGCAAGTATTCACCATGGTCCATCACCCCAGTTGCTAGGAAGTGGTAAGGATCTTTTGTATTCCACTTGATGAAAAAAGGGGGAAGAATCTGCATTGGTGAGACCCAGAGAAGTACTTGGATTCCATTCAAACCTTCAGCCAAAAAAGTATTTTATTGAAGACAGTGCAACAGGTGACCACTAAACCCTATTTTCAAAATGCAGCAAATGCAAGACAAAGAAGTTGGTAGAACATTTCCCTGGTACTAACTGTTTTCATGATAGTCCATGAAATAGGTATGGTCTGGATTGGGCAATTGAGTAAATATGTATACCACGGTGATACCTCAAATGATCTTGCGGGACACTTCATCTCGCTATGGGCACTTAGAGCAAGGGCAAATGGTATGAACACTTTCCGTCATCCTGGCTTGATGCAGATTTTGGGAAAGTATACCCTTGGAAGCAACACCATTCACCTGGCAGTATTCTATGAAATTAAAATGGGCTCTGAAAAAGAAATTGTACATATTCTTATCAAAAATGATGAGGTGATTGAAGAATGGTAACCAGTGGAAGCTGAAACCCAGTAGGAGATGAAACAGCCAGATATTGTAGATAATGAAA